AGCCCAGTGCAAAACCAAGAGCGTGTGTGTGTTTTTCTTCAAAAGGTGCTCTGTGAGCATCTTGTTTGCTAATTTAATCACAGATAATTTGAGGATTTGATGACAGCATGATCCCGTATCAAGTATTGGGGGTGCATCACTGAGAGACATGTCCTACCGCTGGATTATTTAAATTCATTTCTTTTTAGGTGGCATCCTCTCAGGGACAATGTTTTCCAAGGGGTCAGTTCACACTTTCAGCTACCAGCCAGCAACTGAAAAGCACCCAAGCGATGTTACATGCACATGGGAATCAACCCAGAGTCCTATGATGTCTGTAACTTGGAGGGTCCATTGCTTTTTAGAACTCATGATCCCAGATCCCACCATGGGCATCTCTCAAGAGAAAGATCAGGTAGGAAGGAACACCAAGAGGTCTGCTTGAGATTCTGGACAATCACTGCCAGGCAGATTGGATTGTACCAGGCTAGACAGATAGTTGGACAGGGTATCAAGTTGTCCCCCATACAGAATAAACTAATTTAAATCAATATTTCCAGAGAGGTGACCATGAATGTTTGTTGCACTGAAACTCAAGGACCACTTGTCTTCTAGTACTTTATAGTGCAATCCTCTGTACTTCTGCTCAGAAGTAAGTCCCAGTGGGTACGTTCATAAATGGAGCTTACTCCCAGGTAAATGTATACAGGATTGCAACTCCAAAGACTTAGAGAACCACAAGAACCCTATTTTGTAAAAAAAAGTAAGTTTCACTGCAAACACAAGGAAACTTTTAATGGCATCACTGATGCAAAGGAGGTGGCTTCCTGGCTCATCCAATTTGGATATCTTGTTATACTTAAACAAAGCAATTTTGTCCCTAGAAAATATCTAGGGGAGTCTAAAGAGAGATATAGAAAGGATATTTAGGGGTGTAGGAGATACTACATATCCCCAGTTCTGAGGCCCAATCTTTCCCCTACACACCTGCATGGGAAAGAACCATGCCAGCTTCCTCTCCAGGGTCAGAAAATCGAGCTCGGAGAGGATGTAAAAGGGTGGGGAGGGGAGGAAAAAGGCCACCGATATGCAAGGTGCCCTGGAAACACTCCAGCCGCCGCTCTCCCTTTCCAAAGGGCCTCATCAAGAGAGCCAAAAGCAGCCAAAAAGTGCAGGGAGGCAGAAGTCATCTCAGCCTTGCTTCCTGTGTTTCACTGGCTACTCATAAGCCTCTATGTCTGGGGTCTTATGGGCCTCAAGGGAACAATCCGTAGCATTGCACTCTTCATATATATATATTTAGCCTCACCATTTCAGCAGCCATTATCCTCATAGTGATTCGCATCTCTTTAAAGCTCTCTCAATTCTGCAGTGGGAGTGAACAAGCCCTGTGAAAGGCTGGCGTTCAGACTCCCGAGGCCAATGCACGCAATCGTTTTGCTTGCAGGTGTGGCATTCCGGGTAAGCCATGAAGCCGAGTCACTGGGATATATGGCTGGATCTCCTAATAGCCCACCTCCTCCTAAAATAAAACAAACTCAATGAGGTGATATTCTTACACAATATATTCCTTATCTGTTAACTTGTCAGGAATAATGACTGAAAGGATTATCTTGGGAGTTGTCTTTTAACTGCTTGGAAGCAATTCTCCTTCCAAAGTTCAGGAGACCAGAAGAAATTTTGTTTTAAGAAGTCACAAGGTTTCCTTGATGAAATAAAAGCACAGAAAGTTCTTAGGATTTCAATAAATGTCCAGTTCATTTCCATGGGCTGCATCGTAGGCCCGGGTGAGCTGTGGTTGCTTCCCAGAGAAGACTTGCCAAGAGCAACTCGTTCTGTTACCTGGAATAGTTACTCCCTTGCCTAAGGCAGGAATAAAATACAACATCTCCATTTTGCCTCATCCCCCGCACCTCAAATCTCAACAAGGCAGGACACCTTCAGTTAATGAAGTGGTTGCTTCTTTAGACAGATGGTGTGAGTGAGATAGTTGTGAAAAGATGCTTAAAATGAAAGACTGCCAGCAGGCTTCCTATTTAAAAGACACACACCAGAGACACGGTTTGGTTCAGTGTTGTGCCTCAGTAGTCCAAGAAACATCTCCCTGAAAAAGGGAGCCAAGAGGGACCAGCACGTGTTTTGGGACAACATTTGGTTGAGATGCCCACAGCTAAGGTTGGCTTTAGCCCATTAGGTGGTGATCCTGCTGAGGTGAATTTCCGCAGGATCCTGAGGGTGCAGTGGGGAAGGAGAAGAGGAGTGGGACCCATGGATGCTTCGGACTTTGGTGCGTGGATTCCTAGTGCAAGCTGGAGTGGAGCTGGATGGCACGTGATGTGTAGTGGTGTGCATGAGGTGGGGGACTCAAAATACTCCAGCCTTCCTGCATTTAGAAGTGAAAACCTGAAAAAACCACCTGTTTCCCAAAGGAAGGTAGAATCTGAAGCAAAGGGGAGAGCAAACCATTTCTTCAGGAAGAGGATGTGAAGGTGAAACCTTGACTTTCCAGTGCAACCAAAGCCTTCTTTTGTAGTGATCTTGATAGTTTTGGTGAGGTGACATGGTACTCTCTTCCAGAATATCTCTTTGTTGGTGGAATATATAAAAGCTGTAGAGTGGATGGATGGATCAGTTTTGATCTTCCTGAAATTGTTGGGGGTGGGCGTTATTCTGGCCGATTTCTACACAAGTGTGTGCTACAGTTGCTTAAGTGTGTGTGTGTGTGTGTGTGCACACGTGCGCACCCCCACAGGCATTTGTTACAATGTACACATTAATGCATACAATTCCATACACATTGTAAATGTACAGACGTAGGGATGCATGCATCCATTAAAGAAAGTCTGTGAGCACTTTGGTTATGCATCCCTTTTCCTCAACACGTTTTTCTAAACTGAGCATGTTGTTCAATGTGCCTTTTTTCATCTTCATTGTGGATCCCCTCTCAAGCTCAGAAGGGTACCGCTTTCTGACTGAGAACTGTGTTCTGGTCCACCTTGGAGTCCAGGAAGTGTGGCTTGTGTACATCTGGATTTCTCACACATCCATATCCAGAGTACAGTCAGGAAAGTGCCTACAGGGGGGCTGGCCTTCACCCCCATCAGTTCTCTCCACCAGCCAAGGCTTCCCTGGGTACAGCAGCCAGTGCTCCAGGGCATTGTGGGAAATTTTAACTGGCGCCTCACACCCGCTTCATGAGGAGTGGTCAGAAAGCAGCATCCACGGGGCCTTCTGCAACAGAAGGTTGCCAAGGCCAGGACAGGATGTATGTTTTAATAAGGCAAGAGATACACTCTTTCAATAATAATATTTGCCAAGCATCTAGAACCCAGATGGGCAGCCCAGAGGGCAGCTTCTCCCGTGTTCTGCAGAACCTGGTGCGGCTTTAGCTCATCTTTTGACCCACCACTAGGAGGGGAACCCATGGGCAGAGGGGCCTCCATGATAAAGTGAAGAAATTCAACATGCTTTCCAGCCCTTCCTGTCCTAAATCAGTTTCTGTGCAAGCCATGGAAGGATAGGTGTGGCAATTGTGTTCGGCAATTTTCACTGATTGATACATTTAGGGATGGGGGAAATACTAAATGAATTGATTTTTTTTAAGACAACAATCACTGGTGAAAAATGGGCAGCATCATTGATCTGATTTTAGTTTAATAATTTTGTCATACTCATTCATTCATAAATTATGTATTTCACAGTAGCGGCTGAGCCTATCTTTTTAAGATCCCTTTGTTGGATCTCACATCTTTTCCCTTTTTTTATTTTTGGTTTTAGACTTCACACTTCTTGTCCTTTTTAAACTTAGATCTAAGGCACATTAAGAACATGCTGTTTAGCCTGGATATCTGTAAAAATACAGGGAAGACAAAAGCTTTCCAGTTGTCTCAGGGGGATTTCATTTTCTGGGAAGCAAAATGTCTAAGGTCAGCTTGGTGACCCTTAGAGAAAGACCTGGCTTATGTTGGTAGGTCATGAAGCTAGATTCCACAGTTTAAAGATTTTGCAAGTTGGTGTCTGCCATTCCCTTTTTGCTTCTAGGTGTCAATACATATTTTATTTATACAATGGACCTCAAAAAAATTAGAGGCTTTTGTACAGATTGAAATATGCGTAGTTGTGGTTTAACAGCAAAAACGCTGATTGGTCTAGGCATGCCTGCATGGAGTTTTCTTAAATGATTGGGTGCACTTACTCAGTCCATCAGGCACCTTTGGACTGCAGGATTCAGGTAAAATGGTTTCAAGCCCCATTTGTCCACATAGCCAACGACTGAGATCTGAAAAATGGTCAAGGGAGAGTGGCATGTGTAAGATCCACCAATAGCCCTTTTGGAACCACGATTCCCATCAGACATGCTATTTGATTTAATAGTACCATGTACTTTCTGCAGGGGGAACTGTTAAGGAAAAGCCAACAAGCGGACTTCCACCTTTACTCATATTCCTTTGTTTCTGGATGTATGTCCTTTCTTTGAATCCCAGCCAAAAGTAGAGCAAGAGCTTTCGGTAACATTTGGGAAAGATCCATGGTCCAGAAGACTTGCATTTCAGACTACAGGTGGATGCATAACAGAAATGGAAACACCTACTTATGTTAAAAGCTCCCTTTATACAGAAAACTTGCATTCCCTGGAGATGCTGTGCTAGAAAGTTTGTTCTTTATCTGCTAGATATCCACAGACTAGGAGTTTTTGACACAGAGGTGCATTTGTTTGTAACCAGCTCTGTACTTGCATTATAGGCCAACTCTGAAGCCTGTAACTTACGTTTTTTTTCTGAGCAGGTAGATCAACCTTCTCCAACATGGAGCCTTCTAGTTGCTCTGGACTACAACTCCCATCAGCCTCAGCCAGGAGAGTCAATGAACAGGGTTTCTGGGAGCTGTAATCCCAAACATTTCAGAGTGCCGAGGTGGAGGCATCACTCCTGTGTTTTCACAGCACACAGCCGTGCAAATGTAATGCGAACCGGTTTCCTGTTTTGCACTGTGTAAATGCTTCTTTCATAATCTGCTTGCAGCCAGTCCGACCAAACCCGGACGGGGAGGCTACCCGAGTTCCGATGAGGTGGTTCGGGAATCCAGCAGCACCACTGGAATGGTGGTTGGGATCGTTGCGGCGGCTGCACTGTGCATTCTAATCCTCCTCTATGCCATGTACAAGTACAGAAACCGGGATGAAGGCTCCTATCACGTGGACGAGAGTCGAAACTACATCAGTAACTCGGCACAGTCCAATGGGGCTGTGATTAAGGAAAAGCAACCCAACAGCTCCAAAAGCTCCAACAAAAATAAGAAAAACAAGGATAAGGAGTACTATGTCTGATCGCGAAGCCGAAAAGAACAATTGTATAGAAATAGTCTTCATTTTATCTGAGACATAAAACAAAACTTATTTACTTTACTTTTTATGAAGCACATACGATGTTTAAAAAAATGGGAAAAGAACACAGGGAATGCAATCAGAAAGGAAAGACTTTTTTAAAAAAAAAAAGAAAACAAAGGAAAGAAAAAAACAAAATAAGCTTTTCATACTCTTGTTTCGCCAAAACAGGAGTCAATAAATCCCCTTACATCTACAGTGTTTTCCTTTACTCTGTTGTCTTTATGTTGCTGGAATGTTACTGAGGACAATGTTGTACACTCATAAGACAAAGAGTATTACGACAAAAGCATCACCCAGCACAACACGAAATGTAATAAACTGAAGCAGCCACAAAAAGTGAAATCTCTCTCTCTCTCTCTCTCTCTCTCTCTCTCTCTCTCTCTCTCCCCCTCCCCCCCCCATTTCTCTCTCTCTCTCTTGCTCACACACACACACACACACACACACACACAGAAGCTACCTATGAATCTGGTTTTAGCCAAAGTGCTAGCGTGCTCCTGAGGAGTCAGTCTTATGGCCTGAGATGACTTTGTGGTTATACACAAGCGCTCAGCGAGCAAATCTTGAGACTGAAGTTTGCCACCCAGTGCAACGAAACAGTGCTTGGAGCTTGGGTTTGAAGCAAAATGCTGGCTTTTCTGAATAAACCACATATAGAAGGAGGAGGAGGAGAAGAAGAAAGAGGAGACGAAGAAGACGCTTTGGAAAAAGCCTCTTTCTGGTTGTGAGGAAAACAGTATAGCGGCCTTATTTTCAAAAGTTACAATAAACAAATACACAAATGAAGTGAAATATAAGGCTTATTTTCACACACCACTAACAAACAAACCTGAGGGCATAGATGCAATCATTGGGGGGAAAAATCATGCACGCTTAATATGTGATTACATATGTTTATATTAAAAAGAAAAACCCACATCTATATGTGCTTTCTGGACTGTGATAAGTGATGTTTTCTAGCCTGTTGTATAGAAATGCAAACTATATCCGCTCTTCAACCATTTTGGGTAAACTCAATGTTCTAAGTGTGGCTAGGTATAGAACGTTTTCGACATCTGGAGCAAACAACACTTTTGTTTACTTTTGCAGCCATGAGAAACTGCCACAATTTTTCTCCCCTGCCAGATCTTCCTTCCGTCCTTCCTTCCTTCCTTCCTTTAATTTACAGCTTAGTGAATATCCTAAGAGGGATATGTATGAATGTATATAAGAATTTGCTAATTTTTTTCTTAATCTGTACAGCCTCTCTGTCTCTCTTCTTTTGCAGTTCAGTTTTGGTAGTTTGTATGAAAGAAGTGGACTTAGAAAGCAAATATATATAGATACAAACATCATAATTTTCTTCTCCAATTGCCTATCCACTCCCAGGTTGCATCAGCAAAACCCATCAGAATCGTGCCATTTCTACTTCCCCTTCTCCCACGCACGGTAAATGTGACACAAATCTGGTGCACACCCATTTGGCCTGTGCACTCCAGTTTGGATTATATCACTGCCTTGTGGAGTTGGCTGCTACCCCAGGAAGCAAAATCTATATAATCCAAATCTCTAGGATTATATAGCATTGACTGGTGGTTAAAATGTAAGCACAACAGAGCTGCTAAGTAAAAAAAATCACAATTTTCCCTTTAAATTTATCCATCTTCTCTCACTGTCTGTTATGAAAAGCAGAAATGTTATAGGCATAAACTACATGCAGTATGCATTTCTAAGTTGCACAGTTTTTGTGAAATGAGGAAATATTTTTCATTTTTCCAGTTCTGCTTTCCTATTCATTCATCTGAGCTGAAATGAAATTTCCTTTTCTGAGCAAAGCTGGTTCAAAACATGCTTTACATTTCTCTGTATTAGATCTATGTATAAACATTTTGTGTACTTTGGCTTAACTACATGCTTATGTTATAGATTTGCATTTTTGTTGTTTTCTATAAAAAAAGAGAGAGAGAGAGCCGCTCCATTGGGTTCCCGACTATAAGTCATTGTGTAGCATCTCAGTAAGAGAGATACAAGAGGAATACATATGCCAAAAGAAACTAGTTCAGTCAAGAATCAGCCGTATCAAGGAAGGCCTCCTGGGAGGAGTAGAATTGTTCACACTTTACAAATAGGAGGAAGGAATTTAAAATTAGCTTTAACCAGCGGGGCACTGTCTCTTCTTGCGGGCTGTTCACTGCCACCAGGGCAAAACGCTGAGAACTAGTGGAGTTCTCAGTCTTCAACGCAGCAATACTTTAGAAACACACATTCAAATGTCTCTGTATAGCCACCCCTGGAAGCTGCCAAATGATTCGAGATGCTGGATGTGTCAAGGGCTTTGGAGGGGGGGAGGGGGAAATGATGCTCATGAATATTCAGAAGCTACATAGCACTCGCAACAGCATCTGCCCAATGGGTCCCTCTGTGCACCACATTTGTAAGTGACCTTTGGTGAGGGGAGGACAATGAATGGGTTTAGCCATGAACAATGCAGGAAAACTGACTTTGGTACCCGAAGTGAAACGAGCCAACAATGAGAAATGAACTTCCACAGCAGTGCAGCCATGTGGAAGGGGGATGGATCCCAACCCATGACATTCTTGACCGGTGCTGCGGTCCAAGCTGATGACAACATTCTTTTGTGACTTCATAGTTTGACTCTATTACCTAACTTCTTTTTCCCCTCTTTCCCAAGCAATTAACACAATTACTTTTAATCACTTTTAAGGAATAAATGATAGAGGGATTGCTATGTCTAGCAAAGGTAATTTGAAGCTGTTTTCTGGGGAGATACTCCTGCTCTTCCTTGTTGATTTTGTGATTTAATAACCAACAGACAAAGTGTTTGCATTTATCAACTGTTGCAGTAGCTATATTAAAAACTTTTATCTTTTCAAAATACATAACAAATACGTTAATCCCATCTCTATAATAATCTAATTTGTTTGACTAAGGTGGCAATCCTTTGCTCAATTAACAGAGAGTAAGTCCCATTGACATCTGTGGGTCTTCCTCTGAGAAAACACGCTTAGGGTTGTGTTGTGATGAGATGGCTCTGGGTTGTTTTTTTATTACTGTATTGTGTTGCCTTTTTTTAACAATACACTAAAATAATGTGTGAAATTATTCATTCCCAAAATATCAAAAAGAAGTCAGAAGCCCTTAACCTTATAGTGCTTTCTGTGATAGATATTTACAATTTCTTTTTTTATTTGTTGCAAGGCCAATTTATCCATTATTGGAAATGCTAAGCAAGTGGAATTTACCGTTTTGTTAATAAAATGTTTCTTAATACAGTTGCTGGCTCATTTTTTCCCTGTTCCTCCACATGATGTGTCACAATATATGTACTATTAGCTTTGCTATTCCACATGGCTTGAGCTCAGTAAAAAGAAAACACCATCCCTACCTTCCACCTCCCGGAAAGCAGATCTCAATACACTCCCACAGGACCTCCCGTGTACTGAAGCATCTACGTGTGTATCCAAATGCACGCAAATCACTGGATCAGAGTGGCCATTGGTAGTCCTTGTGGAGCTTCATGAGATACTTCCCCACTAATTCCAAGAACTGAAGAGTTCACTGTTTAAACCTCTCCAGAGTGGTCCAGTGTTTTCATACAGAAGACCCTTTGACGAGTTGATTACTTCTTGGTGTACCATCAGCACACCTCTTGCACAACCCCTTCTTAATGCAGGGGTATCAAACCTCAAGCCGAATCTGGCCCTGTTATGGAAGCATGGGTGGCCCTTCCAAGTCCTCCGGAAGAATGCTTAGCTGCCCCTTTCCACCCACCCCCAACCGCTTTGGGGTGGTTTTCCAGTTTTTGTACAGTATTTTTCCCTATTCTGAAAAGGCTGCAATACTTTAGTTTTAGTGCCTAGTAGTAGGAGTGTTAAGCAAAGATATATTGGCACATTGGTGTCACCCTCCTTGCCTTTGGCCTTTTCATGAGAACGTGAGCCCAGAGAGTTTTTCCAAATTGGAACATGGCCATTGGGTTGAAAGAAGTCCGACACTCCACTTTTAAAGCATTTCTAATTAATTGCAGCCACAACATGGGTGGATGTTTGGAAGTTTTCTTAATTAAAATTTCACTGCTGCATATGCCCTCTTTGCTTGTGACCAAATGTAGCTATATTTGTACACATCAAGGACTTTCTTTGAAGCTCCCGTTGCCATGGTTGATACTGCTGAACACTCCAGTCACTTTCCAGATGAACTGGAACTAAAAAAGTGGATTGCCTGTTCAAGATAGCCTCCTCCACTTGTCTGCATCGAGAAAACCTAAGTGTGAGAACATGGGTGCCAGATGCACTTGTGGTCCTGGGTTCCGGTAACTCCAAGACCCCTCTGTTGCACAGCTCATGTCTGAAGAGGGCTGATGTGACAGAAACTTGGAAGGAAAACGCTCAGTGTCATCTATTTTTTCTCAGCTGTCCTCATCATGGCCTTGGGGAGCTCATGGAGGTACATAGGGACCATCGCAGGACCCTGGACCCCAGGTAACACTGACTAAGTGTACTATATTCCTTCCTCACCACTGTTCTATAAATTTGCTCTGTGAAGAGCCATGTTCTCCCACTGGGACCTTTGGCATCCAGCATGCAGTCTTAGGAAACCTCAGAACCAATTATGCACCAATACATCTTTCCACAAGAAAGCAATACACACAGGAGATGAGAGACAGACAATGTTACAGAGCTGCTCCTGCACAAGTTGTTTGTCCGGCATGTGCATAGCCCTCTCCTGTCCACACCTGTGTAGATGTAAGCAAGCACAGTAATGTAAAACAGCCTTCTCCAACCAGGTGGCCTTCAGAGGCAACTAGACCGCAACTCCCAAAACCCCCATCAAGCAGGGCCATTGACTGGGAATTCTGGGAGTTGCAGTCTAAATGTGCCTGGAAGGCACAAGGTTGCAAGACAAGGCGGCTCTGGAGAGGACCGAAGAGGGTTCTTCAAATGTTAATGGGCTATCATGTAGAAAAGGGCAAAGACTTGATCCTTGGGGTCCCAGAGGGTAGAGCTCGTCCTAACAGACTTAAGTACAAGAGGGTATAATATGGCTGAAGATTAGGTGAAATATCATGATGGCTATACTGTTTGAGCATGCAGCCAATGAACTAGAGGACTCAATGGGCATCTCTAGATGCCTTCAAACAATGGCTGGACAGCCATTTGTTGGGGATGAATTCATTGAGTTGCATATTGGACTAGGGGGCCTTCATGGGCATTCTTCCAAGCCTATGTAATTGTGCAGATGAGGTGATTCCTATGATTCCAAGGACATCTGATGGGTTTTGCTGATGGGTTTCTGAGATGGGTAG